CAAATGTGGAGGGAATGAATGAATGACACCCAGGATTCACTTCTGCAAATGTAGAGAGAATGAATGAAAGACACCCAGATATTCCCTGCAAGTGTGGAGGGAATGAATGAATGACATCCACGGATTCCCCGTACATGTGGAGGGAATGAATGAATGACACATAAGGATTCCCCAGAAATGTGGAGGGAATGAATGAATGCCCTGAGAATGCAGAGTGAATGTGTGATGGAATGTGTGGAGGAAATGAGGAAATGAGTGAATGAATGAATGCCACTCTGAGAATGCAGAGTGAATGAGTGATGGAATGTGTGGAGGAAATGAGGAGATGAGTGAATGAATGAATGAATGCCACTCTGAGAATGCAGAGTGAATGAGTGATGGAATGTGTGGAGCAAATGAGAAAATGAATGAATGAATGCATGCCACTGTGAGAATGCAGAATGAATGAGTGATGGAATGTGTGGAGGAAATGAGGAGATGAGTGAATGAATGAATGCCACTCTGAGAATGCAGAGTGAATGAGTGATGGAATGTGTGGAGGAATGAGTGAATGAATGAATGAATGCCACCCTGAGACTGCAGAGTGAATGAGTGATGGAATGTGTGCAGCAAGTGAGGAAAGGAGTGAATGAATGAATGAATGCCACTGTGAGAATGCAGAGTGAAGGAGTGATGGAATGGACAGAAGGTGGCAGGGGTGGTGTGGACGTTGGCCCCAACGCCTCCCTCTGACCCACTTTGGTCCAGCTGGCCACTGACCCTGACCTCTCCGCTGCATCCATGGAAACTGTGCACCCAGCACCCCTTTCCCCCGGGGTCACTCCCGCTCTGGGCTATGTGGTTCTCTCGTATGGTCCAAGTCTGTCAATCACTGAGGATGGGGGAGTGTGGTCCAAGCCTGTCAATCACTGAGGATGGGGGAATGTGGTCCAAGCCTGTCAATCACTGAAGATGGGGGTGTGGCCCAAGCCTGTCAATCACTGAAGATGGAGGAGTGTGGTCCAAGCCTGTCAATCACTGAGGATGGGAGAGTGTGGTCCACGCCTGTCAATCACTGAAGATGGGGGTGTGGCCCAAGCCTGTCAATCACTGAGGATGGGGGTGTGGCCTAAGCCTGTCAATCACCCGAGAGGGGTGTGGCTCAAGCCTGGCCAGTTAGGGGGTCCGTCACCCTGTTCATAAAAATTATCACAAGCAGTGGTCATTTGTCTCTGACATGGCCGGTCGGAACCCTTCAAGAGGTGTGACTTGTGGGTGCCAGGAGAGTGAGGGTCCCCTTTTTGATTCTGCTCTGAAAAGACGGGGACCCCAGACTACCAGAGACCCTCTTTCCATTCCTATAGAGAAGGTGGTCTTCCTCAAGTCATTCCACACCCTGTAGCTGAGGGAGGCAGAAAAAAGTGGGGCTGAAACGTGGGAAGAGAGAAAGAGAAAGAGGAGAGACTGGTGGCCGTTTAAGCTCCTGGATCCAGCCATGCCTGAAGTCCTCATAGAAATCCTAATTATCCAATTTGACACTTTCCACCTTGCCTCCAGCTAGCTCGACTCAAGTTTCTATCGCTCGCCATAGAAGACAGTTATGCCTCAGGCACTAGGGGCAGGCAGGCTGGGCTCCCAGCTGCGGGACAGAATACTCCTAGTTCCAGCAAAAGGGCCCTACGGAGCCCATGCCACCTGCCCTGGGCTGAGGCATGGTTATTTCAAAGGCAGTCACGCATCGTTCATCACTAATTCCCCAGTGCAGTGGTTCAAGGCTAACAAGCAGCACCCAGCGCCCACCTCTGCCTCTTTCTGGTTGTAGGTCTTGAACACAGCCCCCCGCCAGCTCCATGTTCGCCTCAGTTTCCCTTAATGGTAAAACAGGGATGATCGTCATAGCACCTGTCTCACGAAGTTTCGAAAATCCCAGAGATAAGGCTGGGCGCGCGTGGCTCACGCCTGTCATCCCAGGCACTTTGGGAGACCAAGGCGGGCGGATCCTGAGGTCGGAAGTTCGAGACCAGCCTGGCCAACAGAGTGAAACCCCATCTCTACTAAAATACAAAAAATTAGCCGGGCGTGGTGGCGGGCGCCTGTCATCCCAACTACTCAGGAGGCTGAGGCAAGAGAATCACTTGAATCCGGGAGGGGGAGGTTGCAGTGAGCTGAGATTGCCGCGCCACTGCACTCCAGCCTGGGCGACAGAGCGAGACTTTGTCGAAAGAAAGGATAAAGGAAAAGGAAAGGAAAGAAGGAAGGAAAGAAGGAAGGAAACGAAGAAGGAAAGAAGAAGGAAAGAAAGGAAGGAAGGAGGGAAAGAAAGAAGGAAAGAAAGGAAGGAAAGAAAGGAAGGAAAGAAGGAAGGAAAGAAGAAGGAAAGAAAGGAAGGAAGGAAAGAAAGGAAGGAAGGAAAGGAAGGAAGGAAAGAAAGGAAGGAAGGAAAGAAAGGAAGGAAGGAAGGAAAGAGAAAGAAAGAGAAAGAGAGAGAGAGAGAGAAAGAAAGAAAGAAAAGAAAGAAAGAAAATCCCAGAGATAAAGGCGTTGCAAAAGTGGCTGCTGCATCCTGTGCACTCAATTGACGTCAACTATTTTTATTTGCGAAAACCAAGAACCACGTCTCCTCCCCACAAAACAAAAGCAAAATAAAAGCAAAAGACAGGTGTGAAGAAGATTTCTGGGAGAGCACGTTTTCAAGAAGGTGGACTTTTTCCATGGTTTTCTAGGCCAACCTCAGCCCTGTCTGTGACCCTCCAGAGCTTGTGCACAGTGCACGGCCCCTATCTTGAGGGTGTGTATCATTTTGCAGGACTCTGGTGAGCCCGGGTTAAAAAAATCACACACCCCAAAGGCAGGCCGAGCTGAGGGCTTTCTCTGCCATTCAACCGCATCTCTGGCCCGGATCTGCTCTGTTGCTGGGGTATTTCTGCAGGGCGGCGTCTCCTCTGTGAACACCCCCAGATCCCCGTGACTTACAGCGGCGGCTGTAGGGAGGGCAGACGTCCCGGGTGAGGCTGGTCTTGTGGTGTTTGTCCGAGCAGCCGTCAAGCTGGGCAGAGGGTCCTTGGGGACGCTCCTCCTCCTGGTCCAGAGGTGGCTGCCCTATGGCAGTGTGCTGTGCACAGGGGCAGGAGTGCAGGGCCAGCTCTCTGCTCTGCTGGGAAGAAAAAAAAAATCCCACTGGTTGTGCCTGCAGCACACCCTGAGACAGACACGGGCAGCCTCCGGAGACCCAGCGAGCTGCTCTGAGCCGCGATCCGTCATCTGCAGACTGAACTTGCTGCAGGCTGGTTATGAAACAGGCCAGACCGACAATAGATGGGAAAGGTTCCTCTTTTTGGCCCTGGGCCCCAGGGAGCGGGGTCAGACCATCACAGGGGGATTTTACGTGTTTTTCTCCTGATGCGATATTTTTCAATACGGCTTTTTTTTTTTTTAATGAGTTTGGCCTCCATGTATGCAGGACCATTGCCTCAGAAGAGTTAGTGTAGGATTCGAAAACGGGTTAAATTTAAGGACAGCTTCTCTTGCCTATATTGGATATGACTTTATGCTTTAGGTGAAAATACTAATTTTTAAAAATATGTATGTCCACAGTCACTATTTTTTTTTCTTTTTTCTTTTTTTTTTTTTTTGAGACGG